AAAGTTTCTTAAGCACCAAATCAACATATTAGAATGATTTTTGAATGATCTTACTAGACTGGAGTAATGGCTGTTGAATACAGAGGGTATTTTTGCATGTAAATAGTTATTTTAATTTAATTTAATAAAAATTTTCAACAGCTATTCAGCATATCTTTTTTTGCGGACTTACGGCTTCATCCTTGCTAGTTGTTGAGAAAACTATGCTCTGTGGGGACTTAACTAGTAGAGGTCTGGGCGGGACTGTTTTTTTAGTCCCGCTCCCGCAAGGTTATATTCCGCACCCACCCGCTCCTGCTATATATTCACTCTTTGTTCACTCGCTGTCCGCTTAGAATAATTTTCTTCCCGACCCGATCGTTCCCGCTAAATTTAGATCTCGTTTCCAGAATCTCACATTTAAATTTCCGCTACTGAAAGAAAGATAGGCTAACAAATAAAAGTGTAGTCTGCACAAAATTGTATGTTATTTTATTAATCTTGTCAAGTCTTGAATTTATTGACTTTGACTTGAATTTATATGAATTATCTTAAGACACAAAATTCGTTTAATATTTTATGCAACACAGTAGAAAAAAGGTGTCAGAGAAAATAAAAATGTACAAAAATTTTATTTCTTATTTTTATTCGTCTTGTCAGGATACAATTCGGTTAAAATTTACAACACAATAGGAAAAAGTGTTGCAGAGAGAAAAAAAATTTAGGTTACAAAATACAAAATGATTTTGACATTTTTCTGTTAACACAGTATAAGTGTCTCAGAGAAAAATAAATAAATACGACATCTGTCATTTAAAATTATAGGCTAAGAAAAATATAAACAAAACGAGTTGAACGTTCTTCAAGGACAGCGCATCCACACTTTGCTCCATCCTTATTCTGCTTGGCCACTCATCGACAACCTGCCTATTCTGTCTGAGGGCCGTATATTTAGGCTACCACCGGTACAGCCTGCTCTGAGCATCGTTATGCTACGGTGGCTGAGAGGTGAAGAACAAATCACAATTCTGAAAACAAAATACAAATTACAAACGCAAATGCAAGTCTAAAAAACTAACAATTCAGAAAACACAACAACAATTCAGAAAACATTATAACAAGTCAGAAAACACAATGACAAATTCGAAAACAAAATAATAAGTCAGAAAACACAACGACAAAATAACAAGTCAGAGTTAAATTTTTTCCACAGAATTGGGCTACTTTTAAACTGTTGCCATAGGTTGATTTGCCCTAGTGGGTTTAAGGTTTGAAATATTGCATAAATTACATTTGACTAAATGCTTGTATTGAAACATTTTGCATTCTACCTATGATAAAACTTTCATGGACTTCTACATTAAAGGGGTCATATGATGTTGCTAAAAATAACATTATTTGGTGTATTTGGTGTAATGAAATGTGTTTATGCTGTTTAAGATGAAAAAAAACACATTATTTTCCACATACTGTACATTATTATTTCTCCTCTATGCCCCGCCTTTCTGAAACATGTCGATATTTACAAAGATCATCGGTCTGAAAAGCGAGGTGTGTTCTGATTGGCCAGATATCCAGTGCGTTGTGATTGGCCGAATACCTCAAGCGTGTGACGGAAATGTTACGCCCCTTACCATATTGTGATGCCCTGTCAGGCCGGAGCGACGAGACAAAAACATTAAAACCCATTATAAACGAGGCATTTGTTGCATCCAGTGGGGACATAATTACGGATTATAATGACTTGGATCGCGCCGTGTAAACATAAAACCATTGCTGTAAATACAACTTAACCACTGATTTGTAGTCGTGTCCTCTTTTGGAATGCCAGACAAAATAGTTTTGCTTTCACAACGAAATACACGGCAAGCTAGAGTGAGCGGAGGGCGGCAGGCTAGAGAGGGCAGCAGGCTAGAGAGAGCGGTGGCCGGCGGCCTAGAGTGAGCGGAGGCCGGCTTGAGTGAGCGGCGGTAGGTGGGCTTGAGTGAGCGGAGGCGGGTGGGCTTGAGAACGGCGCGGCCAGCAGATTCGTCTGGCGGGCTTACGGCAACCACATGTGACGACCCCGGGCTGGACTCCGCTTCGCCCACTGTGAAAGCCGATCCGGCGATCCACAGCGCGAAGTTGATGTATTTCCTCAGCGACCAGCACGGATCAGCTCCAGGCATGACGAAGCGGATAACGTCCTCTTTTGGAAGGCCAAATAAAGTAGTTTCGCTTTCACAACAAAACACACAGCGCCTTCACGACATGGCGGCAGCGGCAACAACAATACTACAGCGAGAATAAAAGTTACGCCTTTTTTCTTTGCGTGAACATTTGGGCGGCGTTATGCAAATCTTCTTACATAGTGAGGTAGATATGTGGGGGCGTGTTAGAACGAACTTGACCCTCTAACATTTGCACTCTCTATTCTATTTCTATCCTAACTACTTGTTTTATTTATAAAGTCAAAAGAGCCTCTAACACTAGCATTCTCTGTTCTTTCTCTATTCTTTCCACTTACTTTCTTTTTATTTATTATAAATAATGACCTTCTAACACTAGCATTATCTGTTTTTTTCTGTTCTATTGAAATGTCTTATTTTAATTTTAAAATGACCCTCTAACACGAGCATTCCCTATGCTTTCTATTCTTTCTACTTGTTTTCTTTTTATTTATTATAAATAATGACCTTCTAACACTAGCATTATCTGTTTTTTTCTGTTCTATTGAATTGTCTTATTTTAATTTTAAAATGACCCTCTAACACTAGCATTCCCTATTCTTTCTATTCTTTCTACTTGTTTTCTTTTTATTTATTATAAAAACAAAATAAGCAAACAAACAAAAAAAACCTTGCTAGGTATACTGTTAGGTGAAGCCCCGCCCACGAACTCCACCCCCTACTGCCCTTTTTTTTGGAAAACTAAAAATATGGTCGCCCTATTATAAATATACTTAATTATTATGAAAATACCAGAGATGGCTTAAATGACACAGATAAACTATATTGTCGCAGTCAAGTATTTATTGTCTTTGTTTTATCATTCAAAATGTTTATATGTTCCGTTTACTCAGTTACATATATAATACCTATGCCTTTGTCCATATAAGGGATTTCTTGGAGGGTCATGAGTTCTCCACTTCTGTGACTGGATATGTGGATTTTCTGTGCGAGGGTGCCCTCTGGCGTCCAGTATGAATGAAACAGACATCATGTGTTTATAGTGCCAATGGCATATTTATTTATTTATTTTTAATAAGTATTGGTTCAGGCACTGTTTAGGCACCGGAACTATTTTAAAAATATCGATTTGGCACCGGTATCGAAAAAAACCCAAACGATACCCAACCCTAGCCAGTACTTACATTACTTTTGAAGCATTGCAAATTAGGTAAAAGTGTCAGAAGCACCATATATTATCATACAGTTTATACCGTAAGTTTATTGCAAACTATTTAAATATATGCAAATATAAGGTGAGACTATACTCAGTTACATCATTCACAATGCTCTCATGGGAGTGGGTGGCCACTGTTGAGCTCTTTTCCCGATTCCTGTTTCCATGGTAACAATTACTTCTGGTTGGTGGATCTCCTTCAGGATTGTGGGTATTGTAGTTTTACCTGGAATTCCACAACAACAACAACAACAACTTTTATTTAAGTTGACTTGTAAATGTATGTAATCACAAAACCTCAGAGCCTGGATACATTATCTGTATAGGGTAATTGATTTTTTGTGACAGTTTTCTTTTCAGTTTAAACATGGGAATGAAACAGGTGTGGACCCATCTGATAATACAAATATAATTTACTTTAAATGAATGCAGCCTACAACTCAATACATATTTCACTCACCTTAATACAAAATACAGGCTATACAAATTTAATTTGCTTTTATACTTAGATTTGCTTCTTGTGATAGGGTGAAATAGGAAAATATCACTGTGTGATGACAATAATAGAAATGTACTGTTAGAAATAAAATCAAAGCTATTTTCTAATGAAATCATGCTAGGCAGGTATATATATACAGTGGTGTGAAAAAGTGTTGGCCCCCTTCCTGATTTCTTATTTTTTTGCATGTTTGTCACACTTTAATGTTTAAGATCATCAAACAAATTTAAATATTACACAAAGATAATGCAAGTAAATACAAAATGCAGTTTTTAAATGATGTTTCATATCACTTCTGTTCGCTTGCTTGTTTGTTACCTTTATGGCTTTCATATGTTGTATTTTGTACTCCGAGACCAATGATATCAGCTCCACCGACAACTGTTTATCTAGAATGCTGGCTTCCAGACACATCACCCAAAAGATTATGTCTTATTAGTCAGTGTTTTTTCTTCCCCCACTGGAAGAAACTTGGCAGTGTCGTAGTGAGAAGAAAAAAAATTACAGTGCTCCAGAAATCATGTTTTGTGGCAGGAAAATTTCTTTATAATGCAGCTTGAGTTTAATGTTGTTTTCAAATCAAATACCTCCAGTAATTCATCCAATGTTGCAGCTAATTTTTAGAAGAATACTCACCACAGGCTCAAGTGGAGACAGATTTCATGGGCAGCAGACAGGTGGCTCAGTCTGGGCTTAAATTAAGTTGTCTTTCCTGCCTCATGTTCCTGGGTCTGTAATGGGCCTGAGATGGGTTCATTTGGCCTGCTGAGGGCTCAGGCAGTAAGGGTCCATTTAGTTGGCTCAGTCCTTACTGTGATTAAAAGGTCCCATTATACAAGAGTGGAGAATCAAGTGGAAAATAATGTTTTTACGGCAGCTACACTCAGTATGAGGAAGCAGTCAGCCTACTTGTTCATAAGGGAGAATATACATCCAGAGACATTAAAAGCGAGAGATGTAATTAAAGAAATTGCTCAATATGTTAGCTCTAGGAATAGAAGTCATGCATTTTGTTTGACTGAAGTGTGTGCACAGTTAAAATATACATGCACAGTTGACAAAAAAAGTTGACTGCACTGACATGCCTCAAAATGTCGCTAAGCTTTTGACAACACTGTGTCTGATCTTTTCTTTTCAGCAACTGATGCGATCTTCAGTCTTCCACATGTTCATCCTCAGTATGGTGGCCGTTGATGTGATTGTAGCTGCTAGCAATTACCACAAGGGTGAGGACCATAAACTCACCAATGATGAGTTCTACCTGGCTGAGGTAAGACCTGTCAAAATTTATTTTTAGAAACCTGTTGATTATTTTATTTCTTTTTTTAATGTGTGCAGCAATTTCACAAGAGCGCAATGCTGAACCACAATGAGCGCAGTGCTGAACCACAATGATTATTAATAATTATTAAATATGGTATATTACTGATTTAATTTGAGATGAGAAGCACATCTCTTATTCAAGTTCAAATTCAAGTTCAAGTGAGCTTTTTTATTGTCATTCCGCTATTTGTGAAGACATACAAATTAACTAAATGTCATGCCTCACAGGACCATGGTGCTATATTTAGACGGACATATAATCATATAAAACAAAGAAATATATATACGTATAACCTATATAAATTTACATATTTACAAATATCTACATAACCTATATAAACATATAACCTCTATAAACCTACACATAGCTAACCTATTTAAGGAGTAATCTAACTATATACATAAAAGACCAAACATTGAAAGTCATATAGTTTATTTTATTTTATGTCCAATATTTTGGGTAAATTGATCAGAGCTAGAAATATTGAGCTAAAAATTATGCACAAAAATTACGGTAACACTTTATAATAACTTTAATTAATAAATCATTAACAAACATTATGTAATGCTTAACGGATCATTAGTTCATATATATTCACATATCTAGAAATGTGAAATAATGTGCTTGTTAATGTTTACTAATAAATGTATTAAAACATGACCTGATAATTAAAATTTCATGTAAATTAAAATGCTTACAAATGTAATTAAACTTCTAAGTCATATGATCATGCACATCTTGAAAATCTACAAATGATTTTAACAGATGTTATACAATGATTAAAAGCTTTTGTTAATGCACAACAGCTTTGCTGCTGTTGAGGTGTGATACGGGTAGGGTTAGGGACAGGTTTGGTGGTATGGGTAGGTTTAAGTTTGGATAGTCAACAAGTGTACAGGGGTCAATTTAATTACTATAAGGCAACACAGTTCAGTCTGTTTATATTACATTGTTTTGATAAATGAAGTATGTTCTTGAAAATGTGTCCCCCCCCCTTATGTTGATGTATGACTCAAGGAATATTCTGTTTAATGATAAAATAAGTGTTGAGGTGATAAAAACATGTTTTTCACCCAAATTACAATGTGTGATATGCCTTTACCAAGCATTTAGCTAAACCTAACTAACCACCCTTTACACAAACATTGTTAAAGTAGCTAAAACTCAAGTGCCAATAAAGATACTAAAAAAAATTACTAAATGTTTATAAACGTTTACAAATTATGAATAGTCTCCACTTTAGATTGGGTAGTGCAAAAACATGAACAAATGATTAATAAATTATTTGTAAAGATGTGAAAATAGGGTAAATTCCGGTCATTTGGGATACTTTTTGCCATCAAAATGACTGCTCATAAAGGTACTAATGATTAATAAATGTTTATAAACATAATAAATGTTTATAAATCAAAATAAATGATTTAAGATATGCAAATAGTAGAAGTCAACACAACAAACAAAGACCAAATATATGACCTTTACAGACTGGGATTATGAGCTAATGAATATATTAACATGAATAACAAGTGCCTATAAGCTATAGTTTCACAACAATTGTAAATGTAAAAAAGAGCATTAGCTAATATGTGAACTGAAGTTTAATGACATTTGTAAGCATTCAAAAGTACATTAGCAAATAAGCTTGTAAATATCGTATCATTTCTGTAAATATCATTTGTAGATTTTTAAAACACATTGAAAGTTTAATGACATTTGTAAACATTAACTAATGATCTGTTAAGCATTATATAATGTTTGTTAACGATTTATTAATGAAGCTTCAAATAATTGTAAACCATCTGTTAAAATTTTTTCAAAATCCATGATCATATGAATTGAAAATTTAATGGCATTTGTAAGCATTTCAATTTACATTAAATAATGATCTGTTAATCATTTGGTAATATTTAATAAGTTCATTAGTTAACATTAACAAGCGCATTATCTCATTTCTAGATATGTGAATATATATATATATATATTAATTATTATAAAGTGTTAGCAAAATTACTTTTAATTTGTAATTTATAATCATTTATTTATTAAGATTATTATCTGGGACACAGCATGTATCTGATGGCTAAAATGGATGCCCCAGATGTTACTAGTCATGCTCTAATAACTTTTCATGTGTAGCGTCTGCATAGGATCACTGATAATCATTTGGGCTTTATGTCTCAGAGATCCTTTTAGCCTTTTGACATTATCATATAAATTACAGACCTGGCCCCACAGTCTACGTTTATATGGATGCTAAATTTCCATGGGTCTCCCCCACCATCCAGAAGATGTTAAACAGAACAGTACTCTGATCTCCCCATTTGACTTCAAACACATTCCAACGAGAAGACGATCACATTCAGCACCATGCATCAAATGGCTATGGGGCCCAGTGAATTACCCCCACACTTACAATACACATAATGCACACACATAAAGACATTTTCTTTGTTTAGGCCATAATTAAGCTGTTAAAAAATGTATATGGAATATGTATGTCGTATGTATGTTTCCCTGTCATATTAGCCTAGTTACAGTGGGGCAAAAAAGTATTTAGTCAGCCACCAATTGTGCAAGTTCTCCCACTTAAAAAGATGAGAGAGGCCTGTAATTTTCATCATAGGTATACCTCAACTATGAGAGACAAAATGAGAAAAAAACAATCCAGAAAATCACATTGTAGGATTTTTAAAGAATTAATTGGTAAATTCCTCGGTAAAATAAGTATTTGGTCACCTACAAACAAGCAAGATTTCTGGCTCTCACAGACCTGTAACTTCTTCTCTAAGAGGCTCCTCTGTCCTCCACTCGTTACCTGTATTAATGGCATCTGTTTGAACTCGTTATCAGTATAAAAGACACCTGTCCACAACCTCAAACAGTCACACTCCAAACTCCACCATGGCCAAGACCAAAGAGCTGTCAAAGGACACCAGAAACAAAATTGTAGACCTGCACCAGGATGGGAAGACTGAATCTGCAATAGGTAAACAGCTTGGTGTGAAGAAATCAACTGGCTACCATCAGTAACACACTGCGCCGCCAGGGACTCAAATCCTGCAGTGCCAGATGGATTTTTGTTTCTCATTTTGTCTCTCATAGTTGAGGTATACCTATGATGAAAATTACAGGCCTCTCTCATCTTTTTAAGTGGGAGAACTTGCACAATTGGTGGCTGACTAAATACTTTTTTTCCCCACTGTACAACTCTTTATGGGTTTTAGTTAAACTCTAAATCAGTGTTGCTCAACCCTGGTCCTGGGCGCCCCCCAGCACTGCACATTTTGCATGTCTCCCTAATCAAACACACCTGATTCAACTCATTAGCTCATTAAAAGAAACTCCAGACCTGAAATGGGTGTGTCAGATTAGGGAGACATACAAAATGTACAGTGTTGGGGGGCGCCCAGGACCAGGGTTGAGAAACACTGCTCTAAATGCTTATATCCAGGTTTAAGAATGAAGCTCTGCTGTAATATCTTCTAGCCGTCTTTCTTGGTATCAAAACGATCTGCTCTCTGTTTCCTAAACAATGGTGTAGACTATATAATTATGAAATACATCATGTTATTTTTACTATACTTTGGGTAAAACTGCACCAATTCACCAGCAATAAACATGCCAATGGGCTGTAAATGGAGACAAAGAAAAATTTCTCCCACTCAAAATTCACGCCTTGTATTGGCCATTCCACCAAAGTTGGATGTGACTGAGGGACCATCAAAAGACCCCCCCCCCCTCTCTTTCTCTGTCTGATGCATGCTGGGAGTCGGGTAAGAGTGGTAGTTGTGAGATCTGTTGTGTGGTGAGAGTTTCTAAATCTTTTTATTTTTTTCATTTTTTCTCTCTCAAAGTTGTATGATTTGGAAAGAATGCATTTAAAAGAGCATTGTTTTTGGGTTGTGTGGTAGGATGGCATATTTTGCCGAGATGCCACCATTATCACTTCAGAATGGTTTCAGGTGTGTTCCTGAAGACAAGGCCACAGTGGAAGATGTGCTTGTCGTAATTGGATCAGATTGGTCATGAAAACATTTTATCTGCTTCACGTATGAATAAGGCTGTTGTGGTATTCTTGAAAAAACAAAGTTTAATCAGTTGTTTAATAGTGAGTTGTCTGGTTATGAATGATGCTTTTGTACAACTTTTTCCGCTTTCCTCACCGTCCACAAAAGTTACGATTTCAAATGTTCCGCCATTCGTATCGGATGAGCTTTTACAGCGTGAATTGGCACGATTTGGGAAGGTTGTTTGGCTGTAAACATCCTTCCTTGAGACACGTTGTGTCCTTTAGGAGGCATATTTTTATGATGTTGGAGTCTAATGATAATACATTGGACATAAACTTTCTTGTGAAACATGAGGGAAGATCGTATATGGTGTAGGCGACCACCGGCAATATACGATGTTTTGAATGTGGAGACATCGGACACAAGCATCTTGTGTGTCCGCACAAGAGAACAGGTGCAGAGAGTGCGGCAAGATCGGGGGTTGCTGCTGCAGATAACATTGAAGACTCGGCTGAGCCTGAGGCCGCTCCAGATGACGTTGCTCCACCTGTTGAGGTGAGTGCTGTTAATGCTGATGCTGTATTATCTGCTGATAAGGCTGAAAATACAGAGTCTGTTCTCTCAGTTTTTAATAATGTTTGTGCTGATAGAGATGTTGCAGTTCATGTGGTACCTTCTGTTAGTGCAAACGTTCTAGTGTCTGATGTTAAAACTGATGAAGTAGTTCCTAGTACTAGTGGTGTTAAACATTTGGAGAATAAGGAAGGTGTAAACAATGCAAGTCAGGAAGAATTGTGCTATGATGTTGTGAATAATGAGGAAATGGACGATGTGCTGTCTGATGATCTTGAGTTACAGGAAGATTCTCAGTGTGATGATGGTAATTCGCAGGGAACTGTACTCAGTTCAGTTCAAGCTGATTTTTTTCTGGAGGCT